CCCAGTCCCTATCCCTAGTCATCTTCTGACTTTTACCAACATATGAAAATGTTTTACTCTATTGCAATTAGCATACACCTGTGTTCAGTTATTTTCACTCAACAATGTTTTTCATTAAAATTCCAAATACGTAAATTCCACAAGCTATATATCATATGTGTGCCAATATCCATTCAATATAGAATTCTTGTCTGTGGGCCAGAGAGATAGTACAACAGGTGGGACATTTACCTTGCACGCAGCAGACCCTGGTTTGATTCCTGGCATATGATTCCCCAAGTACCACCAGGAGTGATTCCTGAGTACAGAGCCAGGAGTAACCCCTGAGCATTACTGGGTGTGGCCCAAAATCAAAATAAAATAAAACAAAACAAAATAATGTTTGTCCAGTTCCTTATTGTTAGACATTTAGGTTACTTATTCATTTTTACGATAATGAACAACAATCACGATCACAATCATCCTGTTGTTTGTCGATTGCCTCGAGGAGGCACCAGTAATGTCTCCTTCTTCCTAGCCCTGAGATTTTAAAAGAGCCATATTCAATGCTCTTTCAAGGCTAAAAGAATGAGACCCATCATTGTTATTGGTATTTGGCATATTGAGTACGACACGGGAAGTTTGCCAGACTCTGCCGTGCGGGAAGGATACTTTTGGTAGCCTGCCGGGTTCTCCAATGAATGAACAACAGTAATGGTTTAACAAACTATCAAGATAATCTATTAGCTCATAATCCCATTATTGAGATAATTTAAGCAAATCATTGAATCAAACACTATCAACAGTTTTATAATTTGCTAATTCTAACCAGGTTGCTTCCTGAAGCAGAATATAAGTATTGATAAACTTTTTATTTCCTTATCCTGCCAAAACTTAGAAAAAGATTGTAAGTAGAAATCATTTTTCTTCAGTTTGAAATTCTTATTAAAAATTATTTTCCCACAGTTTTATACTGCATTTAATAGTAAAAAATTAAGAATTTTTTTGTATATTGAGGAAATATTTGATCTGAGGTAAGGTATATTAGAACTCTAGCTACTGAGAGTGTTCTGCCTGCCTGGCAAGCTACCTGTGACATATTCTATATGCAAAAAACAGTAACAAGAAGTCTCACAATGGCGACATTACTGGTGCCTGCTCGAGAAAATCGATGAACAATGGGAGGACAGTGCTACAGTTGGCTAATATTTTTTACTTTCCTGTACTGCATACAGGCACCATCATAATACCTTAAGAAATTGTAAAATAAAAATATAGTGGCCTAAAAAGTTAGAAATAGTGTAAGTAAAACAATTGTATACTACTACCATATAGAAAGTCTACAAATGGAAATACCATTTTCCTAATAATTTGAAAAAGCTAAACTATTTTGCTTTCTTTAAGACTACGCAGTTCCCAAGCCAATGAGATAGCTCAGCTAGCTGAGCACATACTTTACATGCAGAAGGTCCTGGTTCCATTCTCTCACCACATTGTCCCTTGAACACTGCCAGGAGTGATCCCAGACTACTAGCTGGGAGTGGTCCCTGAGCACCACCAGGTGTGGCCCCAAAATTTGAACCCTCCAAATCTAACAAAAATTTCTCTCTATTAAAAATTCAGTTAAAATCCTTTGGGCATATCCCAGGAGAATGCATGTATACAGACATTTATTGGATAAGATTTCAGAGATAAGATCTGGCTAATGATCTCTGTTACACAATGACCTTGGCACTATCTTTATCATTATTTTTTAAAATGTTTTCCATCTTTATAATTCAACTGCCAATATTCTTGTTCTGAATCAGACCTTACAGAGAGAAACGTAGAGGAGAAAGATGTAAATAGATGCTTATCACTGCTCTCCATTCAGTGGTAATTTTTGTGATAAGGGAATCCTAATTCAAGTCTATTCCACTGATCCAGGCAACTGCAATAGCTTCCACATTGGTCTCACTATCTCTCTTGTCTTCTGAACAGGTTTGCTTTTTGCCCAGTAAATAAAAATATCCTTATTTTTAAAAAGTACAAGTTACTTGGGGAAAAAGGGAGCAGAAAGAGAGATACATGTTCAAGACAGAACATGGGCTTCTCTAGAGTAGAAAAACAAACAAACAAACAAACCAGAATGCTTTGGTGGGGAAGGTTATGTGGTTATGTGAGACTATTTTCCATAAATTCCATGGTCCTGAATTCTTTCTTAAACCTAATCATATTATTCTTCTTAAAACTCCCAGGGACGTACTAAGCATAATATTGCCTTTTCCCCACTTCCTTGCTTCCAAGACTCCATCTTGAAGAGAGCTGACTTAATCTCTCTCACTCGGTTTGTTGGATTTAATCCACTCTAGATTCTTTTTCCTTCAGCCTCATGTTTGCACTTACTTTCCCCTCTACCTGGATCACACAACTCCTGCTGCATTCCATGATTTTCTTTCTTCAGGTCTTGGGCAACATAAAGTGATTTTCTTTGACATACCATTTTAATTAGTTTATTCATGCATAACAACCAGGAAACATGTGCGCACTATAGTCAAACATATATGCAGGCCCAGGAGTGCTCATGAAACATTATCTGCCACCTTAAAACAATGAAGGGAAGGGAGAAAGAGGAACAAAATTAACAAAATTTTAAAATAAAGGACTGAATAGGTAGATTAAGTTGCATACCTTGCATGCCACCAGCCCCATTTTGACACCCCACCCCATATATAGTCCCCTGAGCATTACTGGGTGCAGCCTTGGGTGGCCAGATAACCCACAAAATGCTCCCAGCACACAAAGACAAACATCCCTCCTCCCAGAGTTGGACAAAATTGCTGGGAGGGACCCAGGGCTTCCTGAGCACCGCTTGTTAGTGGAGTCCCCTGAAGATCCTCCTCCAGCAAAAAAAATAATAAATTTTAATTTATTTGATTCTGTTGAGACGGAAGCGGTCATTGAAGCCCTAGCCAATCAGGGCATTCAAGCCCAATACATCAGGATCCTCCGTGAGCTATATTGCGGATTCACTACCAGGATCTCACCATTCTACAAAGAAGTGATCGTTGATGTCAAGAGAGGGGTGCGGCAGGGTGATACCATTTCACTGAAACTCTTCAGTGCCACCCTCGAGAACATCATGCGACGACTGGAATGGGAAGGAATGGGAGTGAAGATAGATGGTCGGCAACTACACCACTTCCGCTTTGCTGATGACATTGTTTTAATAACACCAAACATCAGCCAAGCGGCACAAATGCTGGCCAACTTTGACCGTGAGTGTGGAAAGGTAGGACTACAGCTGAATCTTATGAAGACAATGTTTATGAGAAACAGCCTTGTTCCTGACGCCCCATTCGCTCTCAATGGAACGACCATCTCCGAATGCAACAGCTATGTGTACCTAGGTCGAGAGGTCAACATGACAAATGACCTGGCACCCGAGCTGCGCAGGAGGAAGAGAGCGGCTTGGAACGCCTTCAAGAACGTCGAAGAAATAGCTAAGAGGACGAAGAACCTCCGGCTCCAGGCACATCTCTTTGATTCCACTGTTCTTCCTGCATTAACATATGCCTCAGAGACCTGGGCCCTACGCAAACAAGATGAGAACGCTATTCAGGTCTCCCAAAGAAGAATAGAAAGAGCTATGCTTGGAATATCATGTTTCACTCAAATGAGAGAAAGAATCCGGAGTTCTGACATCCGTCGATGATCAAGAATCAGGGATGCTGTCTCATTTGCCAAGGTGTCGAAAATCAGATGGGCTGGTCACGTAATGAGATTTAAAGACGACCGCTGGACTAGAGCTGTTACTGACTGGATTCCACGGGATGTCAAAAGACCGCGTGGCCGCCCACCTACCAGATGGTCAGACTTCTTCGTCAAGATCATGAATGATCGGTTTGAGGCCCTTCATGTTTCCAGAGCGAACAGATGCCATTGGGCTACACTAGCACGCGACAGGGACAAATGGAGACGTTACTGGCGCCAGCTCGAGCAACTCGACGACTAACGGGAAGTTAAGTGATTAAGTGATTAAGTGAATTTAAATAAAATAAAGTTCTTAAAGGTGTTTTGCCTCTTTAAGGGAAATAATAAAAGGGTGCTCCATCGTCTTCCCAGTCTATACACATTTCTTGGTTTGTCTCTTTTTCGCTTCACGTTACAGCATGGAGGTGTCAATAACGTGTGTCACAGTTCAGCTCTGATATCTTTTCCTGGAGTATTTACCTACATAATCCAATGGAAATCTCATTCTGCAATCCACACAGAAAACTTGACCGAGCATTATCCCCATGCAATAGCTTTTCTCTTTTCTTCCCCCACCTCCAGCAAATTCTCTTCGTCCGCTGTTTGTAATTGACAGCCCCAAAGTTAATTCAGTTGCTCACCTCGGGAGCCCGAGCTGTCCCCCTCCACAACGTTATTAGTTCTAGCTTAGGTAGTTAAAAAAAAAAAGTTCCAACCTTACTTTCACATAATTACTACCATCCTCAAACAGTCCAAGATGTGTTGGACTGTTTGGAGTGGACGGATGCATTGACTGAAGATGGGAAAGCGTAACAAACCAGTCGTTTGTAAGAAGGAACATCATCATCATCGTAAGTGCTGGTCTTTCCTCCGTCTCCTTGCCTTCTTTGGCAGCCCCTCACCTGGCCTTGCCCTAGTAGGGTCCCTATCTTGCTCTCTGCCTCCGCGCCCTCCCCGCCCCCCAGCACGCTGGCCAGCTCCTCGGCCCCTGACGCGCAGGCTCGGCCGGGTTGGTGCGGAGGCCGAGTCACGCGGCGCGGCGGGCGGGGCGGGGCGGGGGTGGAGCGAGACGGGGCGGGGCTCTGCGGCGCTCGTGGGCGGGGCCGGGCGGCGCGGGGCGGGGCTCTGCGGCGCTCCGGGGGCGGGACCGGGCGGCGCGCGGCCGCAGTGAGCGGGCTGGGGCGGGGTTCTGCGGCGCTCGGGGGCGGGGCCGGGCGGCGCGGGGCGGGGCTCTGCGGCGCTCGGGGGCGGGGCCGGGCGGCGCGCCGGCCGCGCTGCTTATATCCGCGCCTGCGCGGCGGCGCTGCGGGGCCAGTCGGGACGGAGACAAGATGGCGGTGCGAGCGATGCGAGGGATCGTGAACGGGGCCGCGCCCGAGCTGCCGGTGCCCACCGGCGGGCCGGCCGTGGGCGCTCGGGAGCAGGCGCTGGCCGTGAGCCGCAACTACCTCTCCCAGCCTCGTCTCAGTGAGTACCGATCGGGACACGGCGGCGAGGGCGCCCCGGCTGCCCGCCCCTGCTCACCTGCTGAGCCAGCGGGAAGACTGCAGGGCTGAGGGCGCCCGCCCGCTGCCCCGACCCGCGTCTCTCTCCCTCTTTCTCCTTCCCTTTCCTCTCTGAGAGGACGTGGTGCTGCAGACGTGGTGGGCCGAGGGCGGCAGCCCGGGCTCCTTGGCTGTCGCTCCACCCTCTCTCCGCCGTAACCCGGGCTCGGGCTTGCTTAACACTCGCTCCCCCTTCCTGCCGCCTCCCTTCCCTCCTGCCCTCGCTCCCCTGCTATCATCTCAGGGTCAGAGGGGACGCCCTGTCCCCTCCCCGCCCGCCCCGCGGGGCCCCCGGGGCTGCTCCGAGGTTGTGTCGCCCGCCCGGGTCGCCTGGTGCCGTCGGCTCGCTGACGTGGTCCGAGCGCGGCGCGGCGGGGCGGAGGGCAGGTCTGCAGCAGCCCCGGGGCCGGGCCGGAGGGAGGCTCGTCCGAGCCGCCTGGGTTGACAGCCAGCAGCCCGAGGGAGGTGCTGGAGGGGGTGGGGGCTGGGGGGGCTGCGAGTCCTGCCTGGCTGGCCCCAGGTCTCCGAAATGGGCAGCGCAGGAGCGAACATTTCTTGGCGATTTTTCATTCTCACCGGCCCCTTTTTCCTTTTTTTTTTTTCTTTCTCCCTTTTTTTTACCATTGCCTCTGCGTGTACCGATCAGTTTACCTTAGCTGGGTTGATTTGTCCGCTTTCCAAGCAGTGGGCGCTCCAATCGCATCTGTTGGAGAATCAATGCATTGTGAGCGGCCAGGTCGAAGTCTCGCCACCACTGCCTTGTTTCAGTGAACGAACTGGCCAGACCGGGAAGGAATGGTTTTTTTTTTTTTTTTTTTAAGAACAAGAAGGAACGATGCAATTTGTAAAGCATCTGACTTCTTCTTTACAGCCTCTTCCCCCCCCCCCCCGCCCCCCGGCATTGGTAAACCCTGAAAATACCCTTTTAAACCCGGGAAAGCACCCCCCATGTCTCTCTAGGAGGTGACCTAGCGCTTTCTCTGGTTAATTAATTGCCTGTTCGTCGGTGGCCCAGTGCTTAGGAAGTATTTCAAAAGCAAGGGTTGCGTCTGGGTGCTGCCTGCCTGACCATTCTCTTCTTGCTCTGCCACTGAGTCATGAGACAGCACTGCAGCCTGAGGACTAGGGAAAACACATGATTCTATGGGTTGGCGTGATGCGCTTTTTCACACACGGATGGTCTCGGGCGGGGTGGGGATGGGTACGCACACGGAAATCGTTCAGGAAATGGACAGATACCGACTTGGATGGTCACTCAAGCCTAGCAAGAGTACAAATTTCGCTTTATAAATTTGATTTGTTTGGCTTTGCTTTGGGTAGGAAAGCTAGATGCAGTGGAGCTCAGGAAAGATTGTCCTGGTCTGTTTCCCTGTCCTTAGGTATTCTCTGTCAATTTAAGGAATATCAGTTGAAATAATAGCATTGTTTTAGAACTTCTCCATGATGAAGGGAGATTAACATGATTTCTTTTTTGTTTTGGGGTCAGGCCCAGCTGGGTCCAGAATGGCATGCAAGGCGGCCTTTCCTGTTGTACTATCTCTCAGGCCTGAGGCTGATTTCTTACAGCTCAAAGAGCGCTTTAGCAGTGACTGAAGAACTGCAGATTCTTGCTGGTGAAACTTGCAACATAATACTTAAGACTGTGTTGTGTGTGCATGAAACACAATTTTGGATGTCATGAATCTTTTTTTTTGTATTATCCGTGTCTAGCACCATGTGTGGCTTTTTAATGGTACGACTTTGCGTATAACCACCTTGCTGGTAATGGTTTAGTTTAAGATTATTTTCTTGGGGTGGGCGCGGGAGAGTCTGCACTGGCAGTGCTCAGAGGTTCTGAGGTCACTTTATGAACTTCTCAAGGTGCATGCAGTGCCAGGGATTGAACTTGGGCCCCCTGCATGCAGAGCATGTGGGCTGGCTATTGAGTGATCTGTCTGACCCATCTGGACATGGATGGGCGCAAGAGTCGGGTTACTTGGTGATTGAGTTCCCTTTCTGAGACTGTGCTCTCAAAAGCCTAAGTACTTACTAGGCTAACAGGAACTCTGAATTTCTCTTTTTCTTGCCATATTCTTGAAGCCAGTAAATAATTATTGCTGAATAATATTAACTTAATTAAAGACTGATAATCATCTTTTAAGTGATCTATTATAGCTACTCTGCTCTTTTTGAACACAAGAATGAGGTGATACTGGTAGCGCCACTGCAAAATTGAATCCTGTTGTAAAACAACTTTCAGGGGTGGTAGAGCTGTTAACAAGAAATGGGAAATGCCATACACAGTTTTAAGTTATTTATTAGCACTAACTTTCCCATCAACTTTGATATTTTGAATTAGGTAACTCCCATTGTTCTTGTGAATAGGTCAGCTAGCCTTAAGTTTCTTACAGAATACAAGCAGATAGCAGGTGATACAAAGCAATCTTTGGTCTCCTGTTTTCTAGAACCTGAATGCCCATTGCTTGGGGAAGTGTGTGGGCCTGGACTATTGTTGAACCATTGAGTGATTGCTCTGGGTTTCTGTTTTTCCTGTGAGGTGGAGACTGAGGACTAGATCTCTTATTGTGCAATTGCTGTTGAGTTTTCTTTTTGAAGGTTTCACAATCATTAAGTGGTGTTAGCAGTATTGAACAATCTTATATCCTCCAGGAGTAAGGTGTCAGCTGGCAAAATGTTTCTTAAAACTTCTGTCGATTTTTTTCCCGTTCAAATTTTGATTTTTTAATGTCATTTCTTACTTATTGCCACTTGAATTCAGAATTGAAGAAGTGACTTTTTGCTTGTAAATGTCTTGGACTTTTGATTAAATGCAAAGATGCTGTTTTATCAGAAGTTCTGAAACATCCTGAAGACTCAAGTTCCTTTCTACTGAAATTTTTTGTTTATAAGGACATTTTCAGGGAAGAATGATCATATTTTAGGAATTGAAATAGAAATACAGATGTAACTTGTGAATGAGTTTTGACTTTCTTAAAGAAAATCTTAACATCTTCCACAAGTTTAAACTGTTTTCTCTGCTTTTGGTTAATGGTCAAAAGGAAGGTTTTGTAAGTAGTGTTGAAATAAAGTGAGGTTGAAGAGATTGTACAGCTTAGTATTTCCTGTATATGCTCTGTGAAAGTGAGGAACTAGGACTGGAGAGATGGCCCAGGGTTAAGGTGTTTGCTTCACTGTTCCCTCAACCTACCACCTCAGGAGTGATGCCAAAAAACAAAGTGAGGTACTTTTAAAATGTAGTTTACTGTATTTTTTTGTTTAGTTCCACTTATAACTTTTAGTTTGTATGTGTCCGATTAATTTAAACTAAACATGTGCCTTAACCTCTGGTTTGTATCTGAAGTGGTCTTGTGTTTTCATGCTTCTTACCTAGTCAGGGAAAACTAAAAGATTTTCTCTCCTCTCTGATGAAACTCTCGGCATCAGTTAAAAACTATGAAGACATTGTACAGTACATTAAGCAGCTAAGTTACAGACATGGAAAATTGTTTTGAATAATCAGGCACATAGAGTATATAAGTTCGATATCCTTGGTCAAATTCTTTTCTAAATTTGAAATACTGCTAATATTATCAATTTGTTACAGTGTTAAAATGTGGATCCCTGAGAAATAAAAAAATATAAAATGTGTAAAAATATAAAATGTGTACAGATGGTCATTATCAAATGTTTTTTTTCTGACTTTCAAAAGTCTATATCCAGTGTTGAGTATTTAGAGACTGCTTTTGAGGAAGTAGAATCTTGTCTTCTGTAGTCAACTTGGCTTGTTGTTTCCTGGAAAAGCAGTGACTAGTGTTTCTTTTTCTCATCAAGCTTATGCTCGTGACTGGCAGAAATTCATAATTTTGAAAAGAATTCACAAATTTTGAATAAACTTGGTTTTAACCATGAGATTTTAAGAGAGGTGACAGGGTCACAGAAATTGTGAGATTCACATTAACAAATCTTAGGTGAAACTAAAAGTTATTTTCAGGATCTAAAGTATATTGATGTTACATTTTATTTAAAACAGAGCTGCCTTGGACTAGAGAAATAAGACAGAGGTAAGGCACTTGCCTTGCATGTGCCTGCCTATATTCAGTCCCCCGCACCCCATATCATCATCCAAGCACTGCCAGATATGGCCTGAAAAATGAAAATTAAAAGTTGACTCTAAGTCTCAAAAGTTATACCCACTCTCCCCTCCTCCCCCCCCCCCCCCCCCCAACTACCCACCGCTTTTTACCATCCCATTGACTTAGGTAAGAATTTTGAAAACTTCTCTGTGTTTAAGACTGATTCTAAGATGTTTTTCTTTGCAGTTCCACATAGCAGTTTCAAAAAATCATCAGGTTGGCCAGAATGATAGTATGGTGGGTAGGCCCAGGTTCTTTCCCTGGTACCCTGTGATCTACCAACCCCTTCCAGGAATTGGATCACTTCTGGTGGGACTTAAACCCTTAGACAAGCATCCTAACCCACTATACTATCTCTCTAGCCCCAGGCAGGATTTCTTCTGATAGTAGATTATTTTTAAGCTCTGAGGGTATTTCCATAAAGAGCAGAAATTGTGAAAACTGGAGTCTTTTTGTTGTTGCTGTGGTATTGGGGAACACACTCTGAGATATTCAGGGTAATACCAGACCCCTATGGGAGACTGTGCCCAGCTGGGATCCTTAACTCTAAGGGAATGGATTGTTCTTTTCCATTACCATCCTTAAAAGCTGGGACTTAGCTGTCATCCATTTTGTGTTTCTGTTGAGATTTTTAAAAAAACAATTTTTTTGGTACCTCCTTGCTTTTTTGTACCCCCTTTCTGTTTGCCTGGCATATATTTGTTATCTATTCTATTTCCTGAATGCACATTTGCAAACCCTTTGCTTTCTAAGACCTAAACTATTTCACCTAGGGGCATATCCCATTGGTGGGGTTTTTTTGTTAGGGAGGAATTCCTGGTAGCACCACATGATTCCCCAGCTCTGAGCTAGTTGCCACTCAGACAAAAACAAAGCAGGTGTGGTCCAGACAAAACCCAAAAAAAGACAGTTAGTGTATTCTGACTTTGCAAGAATTCCTGGCCTCTGAGTGTTCTGTTTATGCCTAGTTGTCTCTGGGGGAGGGGGCACCCATCAGTGTTCCTGGGCTGTTTCTGACTTGGTGCTGGGGGATTATTTATATTGGGGATTGGGGATTAGACAGTTCCTCCCAGCATGCTGTTTACTTAGGAGGGTCAGCAGCATAAGGGATCAAACCCAAGTCTTCAGCATGCAATGCCTTTTGTTACCATTACATTTGATACTTTGTAGGAGTGATAGGACTGAAGGAAACTACCTACTTTCTAAAATGAGGGGTTTGCGTAATACTATCTTACATACTGAAAGTATTCCTGGGCCATAATTTATACTGGAAAACATGTGCCTAAATTGACTAACATTTGACTTTTTAAAAAAACTTTTACCTCAGCACACTGTGCTTTCTCCAGTTTTTGTGTATGTTTCTTACTTCTGTTTAGATTTGTTAGATCTGTGATTCTCTTCCTCATCTCTTTTGAAAAGCTCCACTTTTAAAAGGGAAAGCTCCCTTTTTTTTTTTTGAGTTAAGGACTTCTGCTAGGTATTTTCTGTGCTCATAATCTTCTGCATACCTATTAGAGTCCTTTATTAGAGACCTCCCTTTTCCTGTAAATTGAATTGAGAGTTAGTTCTCTCTCTCTTTATTTCTATTTTCTGGGTTCTTAAAACAGTGTGGCTTACTCATAAAAGGAACCAACGTGTTTCATCCGATGAGGGTGGATTGTGTATAATATTTTAATTTGCAGACATAAATTCAATAAAACGATGTAAGTCAGTATAATTGATGTGATAGAGATTTTTGATGTGATATAATTGATGTGATAGAGATTTTTCTGTTCATGTCAAAAAGGTAAAGTAGGTTGTTTTCCTATGTGACTAAAGCAAATTTTTCTGTTTCCTTCCAGCGTACAAGACAGTTTCTGGAGTCAATGGTCCGCTAGTGATCTTAGATCATGTTAAGGTAATAATCACTTCTATGGTTTGACCAAATATATGAAATTAGAGATGTGACATTGTTAACCCAGTTAGGTGTACTTAAAATTCTTTGCTTTGATTTTTTTCTTTTTTAATAGTGACCTTTGGAGAGTTCTCTGGTGTTTGGTCCCAGGTGCCACTCCTGGTGTGGGTGAGAGCCCACCTGATGGTCCAGACCTGAGAGACTCAGGGCAGATGTGCTAACATTATGTCCAGCCGGCTAGGGTTCTATATGGTATCAGATAGAACACATTGCTTCTTGCACGCAGGTATCACTCCATGTCTTCAGGCAATCTCTTCCAGCCCTGTATTTGATTTTTTAAAATTTAGTTTTGGGGTCACACCCAACAGTGCTTAGGATCTGCTTCCAGCACATTTGCTCTGAGGCTGCTACTACTGATAGTACTTGGGGGGGGGGGGGGGGGGACCATGTGGTACCGGGTATGGAATCTGGTGTTCTGATACACAGCACATGCATTCAAGCCCTTCTCCCTGGTCTTCTGTTTTGATTTTTTAAAAACCATTTCCATTGTATATTCCTAAATACATATAATTATTTGGTTTTGGTTTTTGGGCCACACCAGCCAGTGCTCAAGGGTTACTCCTGGCTTTGCACTAGTCAGAAATCATTCCCGGTATGCTCAGTGAACCATATGGGATGATGTATCTTCCCCACTAACGTTCAAGATTTTTCAGTGATAGCCCCTAAAAAGATAACAGATTATCCGAACAACTTACTGTGCTGTAAGGATTTTTAGGGTTTCTAAGTCACGTGTATATAAAAATTAGCAACATTATTAGTGTTATCTTAATAATAAGATAAAAATAAAGTCTGTAACTGAGTACCCTTTGCTAAACCTTTTGCCCACTGTATGATCAGAATCTCCTGAGAAAATAATACATAATAAGCTCTCTAGAACAGTAATTTTACTTTGTTGTTGAGGTGGATTAGAAGGAAGGACACACAATTGCTAGTTTGTGGCTAGAAAGAAGTACTGACGCAGATATGCTTAGCATGTGACCCCTCAGAAAGCAGAAGATAATTGGAGAACTTTTTTTTTTTTTTTAAAGGCAGTGTGAGGCCATGGAGACAATTCAGGGGTTGAAAGTACACTTTACATACAAGAGTCCAGGTTCTATCCTTAGCACTGCATGCTCCCTTAAGCATAGAACCAAAAGTAGCTCCCATGAACTCCCTAACATTGCTCCCAAAACAAACAGGGGATGAAGGGCCAAAGTGCCTTGCCTCTTTAGCTTAAGCACTAAGATAGTTTTGTGAACCAAAGTAATTATTTAAATTAATCTCAGGATAAAGCAAAGCAAGCTTACCTCCTGACCACTATTTCACATTAGTCTCCTATCCAACTCAATTCCTTACCTCTTTTTTTTCCCACCACAGTGCTGCTCTTTCTTTTTCTTTCTTTCTTTTTTTTTTTTTTTTTTTTTTGCTTTTTGGGTTATACCCGGTGATGCTCAGGGGTTACTCCTGGCTTTGCACTCAGGAATCACTCCTAGCTGTGCTCAGGGAACCATATGGGATGCTGGGAATCGAACCCGGTGGACTGTGTGCAAGGCAAACGCCCTACCCACCGTGCTATTGCTCCAGCCCCAATGCTGCTCTTTCTTGATGGTGGTTTGGGAACCACATGGTTTCGAGAGCAAGCCCAGGTTCCTGCTTTCTAGCCCAAAGCTGTCTCTCTGGCCCCTCCTTCTCCTTTATTTCTTCTTTTTTCTGTACTAGGTAATATTTTTTGTCTGTTTTTAAAATATGAAACTTTTATATTATCTTTACTGTTTTGTCTGTTTTTAAAATATAGAAACTTTATATATTACCTTTACCTTTATATTAGCAAATATGTTACTGAAAACAATTCAACAATACTCATTTCTATCATGTGAAGTGATGAGCTCAGTCCAGGAAATAACGGTAGTGAACAGTGGCCTGAACTCTCCCATGGACCATCTGCTGTAGCATCCTGTAGTGGAAAATTAAACATGTAATTAGTAAGTGCTGTGAAGGATCAGTACAGGGTACTGTGATGGTAGCACTGTAGCACTGTCCTCCCATTGTTCATCAATTTGCTCGAGCAGGCATCATAGTATCTCCATTATGAGACTTGTTGTTACTGTTTTTGGCATATTGAATACGCCACGGGGAGCTTGCCAGGCTCTACTGTGCGGGCGGGATACCATCAGTAGCTTGCTGGGCTCTCCGAGAGGGGCGGAGGAATCAAACCCGGGTCGGCCGCGTACAAGGCAAACATCCTACCTGTTGTGCTTAAATTAATCATTTTAAGAGCTAAAAAGTTATTTATAAAATATAGCTTTAGCTGAGGAAAATGCTGGTGAATACATTTTGTGTATTTTGTCTAAAAATGCCACCAGATTTGTTATTTTAGTTTATTTTCCTTTTGTTTTTAACATAGAGAATAGGATCAAAGACCACATATTCTTATAGAAATGTATCAGAACAGATGTTAAAGACTGACCCAACTCATTTTTTTGAAATGAGCACATGTTGGATTCTTGAACCAAAGGATACCACCAGCAAAGGAAAGTACAGCTCTTTCCCATGGCACATATTTCAAGTTTGTGAGACTTACAGTTTTATTTAAAATAGACTAGTGATTAGATATTAAGAAAAAATATTTTAAAAAGCTTATTCCAGTAATACAAAAGATGATAGAAAATAGATCAATATAATTGATGGATTGCCCTTTTATGGATTAAACTAGTAACCAGGGCAGTAGACCAGTAGTTTCAGTCTTTCTGCATGTGTGGACAAACAGCTGAAGACCACTGGAATAAACTAGAAAAGGCTTATAATATCAATAAATACGGAAGCATCAGAAACAATTACTCATTTTTTAAATTGCTTAGGGGCTGCTCTGACTCTGCTCAGAGGTTCTTCTAGGATGTACTCAGGCATCCGTATGCTTTGCAGGGACAGTGGGTCATCTACAAGGCCTTAACCCCCATACTGTTTCTCCAGCCCCAAGTGTATTCATTTTCTTAAAAAAAAAAAAAAAAAAAAAAGAGAAAGAAAGAAAAGTGCCTCTTGAATGGGGCCAGAGCCTCTTGATAGGGAGCTTACCTTGCGTGAGTTCGACCTCTGGGATTTTTGAGTGGAGAGCTAGGAATAACTCCAGACCATCACCAAGTGTGACCCAAAAACAAAAAAGAGAAAAACAAAAGAAGACAAAAGCCTCTGGAAACAAAGAATGGACAAGCTTTTTAGATTTTTTTTAAACTGTACAACCTGCAGAGAAAAACATCCTGGAGGGAAGAGACTTTTCATACTAGAATATAACCCATGAAAGGAAGAAGGAAAGAGCACTGCTATTACCCTTTTCTGGGATATGATTAAGCAGAAAATCCAAGTCACTCAATAGACAAACTATCGGAAACAATGGTGTCAAACTAAGTTGTAGAGTGTTCTGTATGCTAGAATAATTAGTAACTTCTTACAGAATATTATGCATCTTTGTTGAAAGATGTAAATGAAGATTGAAAATGAGTGGTTGATGAATGAAAAGATTGTTTTGAGATATTAGAATGCAAAATCAGTTGCAATGATTGAATATAAAGATCTTGTCTGGAGAGGCTCAATGGACTGAGCCCATGCTTTGCATGCATGAGACTCAGTTTCAGTCCCTTGCACTAAGTCCAGTACTCCACCCCCCGCCCCCCCCCCCCCCCCACACACACACAGCCTTGCCAGGAGTGACAGCCAGTCAGTGAGCCAGAAGTAGTTTCTTGACCCCAGCACTACCAGGTATGGTTCTAAAGGAAAAACTAACCAGCTAAAGATTTGGTGCACACATAAGCAAAATATTGGTGGAACAAAATATTGGTGGAACAAAACCCTGAGACACTTTCAGTTGAGGGAAAGTTTCTGCTACTTAACACATTTTATCAGGACTTTTAGTTTTTCTGTTAAAAAAATTAAAATGAGAAAAGTAGTTGCCAAAACATTTTAATGGATTAGAGAGCTGAATGTGAGGATCTACAAATAAAAAAATATAGAAAATTTTTTTATGACTTAACATTGAATGGGACCATTGAAAGGTTTCCCTAAATGGGACACAAAAGGCACAGATCATAAAGGTAAAGATGTTATTTTATCACATAAAAAATTTCAAAATTCCTACAAGATAAGCTACCTTTAAAGAAAGAATGAACAGATATTTGTAAGAAGAGATAAATTTCAAATGTGAAATTCCTACAAAGGGTTTTATAACAAGTCGACTTGAAAAATTAGGAAAGTTTATTAGCCAGTCAGTCAATTAAGAATGAATTGCCAGTTGTCATGAAACCTAGCTCAGTATTAGAATCAGGAAAAAGCAAAATGAAAAGATGGGGTTTGTTTTTTTCTTTTTAAGAAAATGTAGTTTAATATCATGATAGCGAAGATGAGCTGGAGAAGCACAGAGTCTAAGGCTCTTGCCTTGCATGCGGTGGACCCTAGTTCAACCCCTGGCACCTCAAATGGTTCCCAAGCATGGCCAGGAGCGATCCTTGAGAATAGAGCCCAGAGTAAGCCCTGAGTTACACCAGGTGTAGTCCAAATGTCTCTACTGGTTGTCCGAGGCAAAGGTATAATGAAGATACTTTTGTAGCAAGATTTTAATCGCACTTTGTCTGAGATGCTTTTTCTATGAGATTGTATAAAGAGAGTTACTTTGTAATTTGAAAGCAGATAGGCCCAGCTATCCCACCACTGGATATTGAATGCCTTAGGAAACTCGGGCACAGTTTCATGAGGACCCTATTTGCAAATGTTTATTGTAGTAGTACAAATTTGGTACAGCCTGGAACAGAATTGTCTACAAAAATCAGCAAAATAGAGCAAAAGTCTGTAGTATGCGTGCTTAATGTGATGGCCCTGAATTCAGTCCCTAGTATCACGTTGCCCACTGTGTACCTCTGGAAGTAGATGTCTACCCAGCACCACCAACTATGACTAGGGAAATAAAAGAATATTATTGGGTTTTATTTTAACCACAACAATTGCTCTTTTTTCTGTATGTGAGGAAGAAGTTTGTTTTGGGGTTGGGGAGTATTTTTTTTATTTTGTTTTTATTTTTGGGTTTTGGGGGCCACACCTGTAGGTGCTTAGGGATCAGGTGCCAGGGGTTGAAACTGGGTCTCCTGCGAGCATGCACTTAGCTTGTTAAACTATCTCTCCATCCTAACTGTCCTTTAAACTTTTTTTTTTTTGCTTGAGGTTTAGGTCTAATTGTACTCATGTTTCATTCCTTGCAAGGCTCAGGGACCTTATGGGGTCCTAGGGAATGGAACCTTGGTTAGCCACTTACAAGGCAAACACCCTACCACTGTGCCAATGTTAGTTCTGAAGTGCCCATTTAGTCACATGTCTTAAAGTCTTTGATGCATCATATTTATCTGGCAGATTTTTTTTATTTTTTGCGTTTTGGGTTATACCCGGTGATGCACAGGAGTTACTCCTGGCTCTGCACTCAGGAGTTACTCCTGGCCATGCTCAGGGGACCATATGGGATGCTGGGAATTGAACCCGGGTCGGCTGCGTGCAAGGCAAACGCCCTACCCGCTGTGCTATTGCTCCAGCCCCGGCAGATTTTTTTTTTGTATCACAAAAAATTGTTGGTACATCTTTCTGTTGAATTATGTTGATAAGTAAGGTAAATAATTACATGGCAGATTCAAAACAATTATGGTCAAGATTTTTTTTTAAAGTATCATAAGTTCTTTTAAAGCATATGATAAAAATATATTTCGTGTTGCCAAATATTAAAGTACATTGTCACTGTCACTGTCCTCCCGTTGTTCATCGATTTTCTTGAGTGGGCCCAGTAACATCTCCATCGTGAGACTTTGCCGTTACCATGTTTGGCATATCGAATACGCCACGGGGAGCTTGCCAGGCTTTGCCAGGTGGACGAAATACACTCAGAAGCTTTCCGGGCTCTCTGAGGGGGGCGGAAGAATCAAACTCGGGTTGGCCATGTTGACTGTGAGCAAGGCAAACGCCCTACCCACTGTGCTATTGCTCCAGCCCAAATACATAATATATTTTTCAAACATCAGAATGGGGGCTGGGGAAATGTCTCAAAGAACTGGAGCACACACTATATACGGGAGCTCCAGGCCTGATCCCTGCCTTTACATGGTCCCCAAGTACACCAGGTATGAACTCCCCCCCCCCCCCAACAAACAAAATAACACTAATAATCCAAAACATTACTATGGATCAAAAGAACATATATCTGGCTAAGAATATGTATCTGGTTAAGATTGAAGGAGAAACCTTTTATTACTATAATATCCCTTCCTGCCAAAGCACACAGATTTTGTGTACACAAGCAACTTTCACTTCTGATTATTGGAAACATAGTTATTTGTAAGTTTTGTTGGTAATCTTAAAACTTTCAAACATATACACAAGGCAGAAAAAATGTGTTAAAAGTATAAAAATTCCCGTGTTTTAGTGAGGCCAGGGTATTGCACAAGCATAGGTCCTGTAATAAAACTAGAGCATATAAAGTATTGGGGGAACTTTTAAAATGTTGGCTATTGATAGTTTTTTTTTCTACTTAGTTTCCCAGGTATGCTGAGATTGTACACTTGACATTACCAGATGGCACGAAGAGAAGTGGGCAAGTTCTCGAAGTGAGTGGTTCCAAAGCAGTTGTTCAGGTAAGCATTACTTTCAAAACCTAGCCAGTCAAACTTTCTCTTAAGCTCAGAATCATAAAGAATATTGTTTGCTTGGTTTTTTTTTTTATGGTGATCACTGAATAAATATATCTTGAGACTTCACTTATTGACTGAGATTATTTTGCCTTTGCTCTTAGCAGTGTCAGCGTAGTCCAGACATTTTGCGGTATTGGGTTTGTACTTTGAGTGGGTGAGTGAGGGTGTCAAGAGGCATGTGCTCAGTTTGCTGGTGGCCTGGTGATTTCCTGCTCTGAGCACAGCGTGTCTCACAGCTCTGGGAACCAGGGGCCTAAAGCAATGGGTCTGAAACTCGGTGTCATGAAATTGCTCTTTGGTCTTAGAAGCTGTTGTCTCCCTGGACCCTGGTATAAGGCTTAAAAAAAAAAAAAGACAAAAATGAAGCAACAAGTCACACAGTAAGGAAATAGTCGACAAGTAGAATTAATGGATAGCAGGATGAAACCAAAACTAGATCTGAATCTGTTCCTGAAATTGTCTTTGTTTCCCAACCCCCTACACCTTACCTGGAGCCCCTGGGGATCCCCTTGGTGCATGGGATTAAGCTCATGACTTCACACTTGTCCTGGGCACTTTCTTTGTTGTTTGGTTGGTTTTGGTTTTGGAACCATCCCTAGTGGTCCTCTGGGATCACTCCTTTGTTGCTGGGGAACCATATGCTGTTCTGTGTATCAAACCAGGGTTGGTGGATGCAAGGCAAGAACCTCTGTACTATTTTCTCCTGCCCTTCTGGGTACTCCCCTCCACCCCCCACCCCCGCTCCCGACCACACCTGGCAGTGTTCAGGGATAATTCATGGCAGGACTTCAGGGACCATATGGGGTTCTCTCAATGCAACCTGGGTCAGGCACGTGCAATGTATGTGCCTACCCATTTTACTGTCTCTCTGGCCCCGTCTCCTGGGCTCTTTTAATACCACTGGTATCATTTTACCAGCCCTTTCTCCCTTGGGATCCTAGAAAAATTATCTCTGTGCAAGTGAGCAGGCTGGCACTCAACATTTAGGGTTTCCATGCTTGCAAGTCAGCATCTATCCCAGAATCTCTTCCAAATCCCATATGCTATTGATTATGTCAATCTTGTTTTTATTTTGTTTTGTTTCTTTTGGGAGTACACTTACCCATGTTACTCCTGGTGGCACTGAGTAATCCTATGGAACCAGGGATCCAGCCCAGTCTTCTGTATGCAAGGCGTGTGCTCTGTACAGAGTTTCTCCACCCACATTATATAGAAGACCTGTAATAGAAATAAAGAAAATGCTTATGAACTGAATTTCTTTCACTTTTTTGATAGGTATTTGAAGGGACTTCAGGTATAGATGCGAAGAAAACATCCTGTGAATTTACTGGGGATATTCTTCGAACACCAGTGTCTGAAGATATGCTTGGTAAATGGCTGTTGTACTTATTCCAAGCAACAATCTGTTTTGTTTCTAACATATTTTCATAAAGTCATTATCCGCTTTTTCCTGTCTTGTCTACTGTTCCGTAGGTCGGGTATTCAATGGATCAGGAAAACCCATTGACAGGGGTCCTGTTGTACTGGCCGAAGACTTTCTTGACATCATGGGTAAGGGCAATGAGTAGAATTCTTTGCTTTGGAGAAAATGACCTTGTTTCATGGCTATTTTTGCAGCACATCAGGGGATGCTCAGGGGCTCCTGCCAGCTTGGTGCTCATGGGGTTGCTCAGGGCAGTACTGCTACCTGCAGAGCATGAACTCCTGCCCTTGGAAATTCCCAGCTTCTCTCTATCTTTTTTGATGGTTTAAGTTGGAAACAGACACAGTCTGTGTTATTATTTTAATCAGGTGCCGGAGAGATCATACAGGGGTTAAGCGCTGGCCTTGCATGCAACTTCCCCTGGCTTGATCCAGCGCTGCCCGGAGTGAAGCCTGAGCCAGAGTCGAAATAATCTCTGAGCAGGGCCAAGTGTGACCCAAAAACTAAAAAAAAAAGTTCTAAATTTTTTTTATTACTGTTTAATTTACTATTTTCACATAACATTAAAATTGTGTCTAGATTATCTTAAGATACTATAAGACAGAGGTTCTCAGAATTATTTATCTTACAATCCCCTTTTCAGAAAAAAATTACTTAGATTCTCCCTGGAAGTCTGTTCTCTAAGTGAACAAAATGCCCCAGAGCTGCACTACTACATTCTCCCACCTTTCAGTTTGGCGTCCCTCCCTGCCCTCGGGAGTGGTGTCACCCCCTCTAGGATATTGCTATGAAGCATCAGTTGGGTGTATCTTAAATATAATTAGTAAAATCATAGCTTTGAAATTAGGATTTCTCACTGACCTTCATGTTACTCTACGAACATGTACTTTTCTACCATCTATGTTTGTGAGTCTACAAAAGGAATGGAAAAACTTCCTGAAGCTGTTAAAGAATAGAAAGGATGCTTTATATAAGTCTAGTACTTAGGTGCAAATGTTAAAATTTCCTTCTTTGGAAATGCGTTAGGCCAGCCAATCAATCCTCAGTGTCGAATCTACCCCGAGGAGATGATTCAGACAGGCATCTCGGCCATTGATGGCATGAACAGCATTGCTCGGGGACAGAAGATTCCCATCTTCTCTGCTGCTGGCTTGCCACACAATGAGGTAAGAACATAGTATTTGTGTGAAATTTAACCAGAAGTAGTTTCTAAGTGCTTCATTGGTAATTGGGAGACCCTATTAAAGGATTTATAAAATTAATACCTAGTATTCTCTGCAGTAACATCGACTTCATATTCATGCATAATATCTATAGTCTTGCTTATTCTTGAGACTCATAGAAAAGGTACAAAATAGTTTTGTTGAGCATAGTCCTTCAAAACATCCCAATCTCATTGATAGTTACAATTTCAAAAAATTACTTTGTTGAAATGTTATTTTAGATTTTAACTTGGGCCTTTTATATTTCTCTTCAGATTGCAGCTCAGATCTGTCGCCAGGCTGGTTTGGTAAAGAAATCCAAAGATGTAGTGGACTACAGTGAGGAGAATTTTGCGATTGTGTTTGCTGCTATGGGTGTAAGTATCGTTTTTTGGTTTCTGAGTGACATGAAAATTGTTTGATGTTATTAAAATAGTCTTGAAAAGTAAACATGAACTGTTGTATTTCTTCCTCTGAAGTAGAGAAGTTGCACTTTGACACTTAAGGCAATTACACTGTACAATTACAGTGTAGCGTGAACTGAGAATAAAGAGTAAGGGCTGGAGCAGTTTACAGCAGGGAGGGCACTTGCCTCATATGCGGCCAACCCAGGTTTGATCTCCAGCAGACCGAGCCCACCAGGAGTAAGCCCTGAGCACAGCTGTGTGTGGCCCAAAAACAAAAAAAGAAAGAATAATTCTTCATGCCCAGAGCAGGCTATTTATTCTGTTGGCTTTTGTTTAAAATAAAGAGATAAATAAAAATAAGAGTCATATAGAACTTTAGAGAGGAACAATATAGAAGTATAGCTTGGCCTTCATCAGAAATAAATACTGAGAATTTTTCTTCTCCCAGCACTGATGAAGTCATTGCTATTTAGGTAAACATGGAAACTGCCCGGTTCTTCAAATCTGACTTTGAAGAAAATGGTTCAATGGACAATGTTTGCCTCTTTTTGAACCTGGCCAATGATCCAACGTAAGTAAATGTTACTACACCTTTCTTTTCACTGGGGCTTTTGGTCCACAGTGTTACCTAAGACTCTGGGTGTGAACTGTGTTAGTGAAAGCAGCCATAGGTCTAGGAGCAAGATAGCGCAAATGAGTTAGCTGCTCGAGTTTCAGCTCTGGGTGCGGTCACGTTCATCCTGGAGTTGACTGCAGCCCAGCTGCGGGTGCATACATGTCTCACCCTTTATTTATGGGCCTGTCTGTTCCTCGTTCTCTGTCTCTCTCTTGTTCTTTCCCTCCTCAACCTCCTTCCCTCTCTCTTTCTTGCTTTGCCCCTTCTCTCCCCTCGTCTTTTTCTTCCTCTGTGTTCCCTCCTTTGCTCTCTCTTCCTTTTCATAATTCTTTTTATTCCTTTTCATAATTCCAAATAAAACCTTTTACTTAAAAAAGAAATTTGTTGCAGTTCTGCTTCTCATTAATCATTAGGCTTTGGATAAATCAGTCTCTGAAGCTCAGTTTTCTCTCTAATAGAATGAGATAAATGGTGCTTGTCACACAGAGTGTGGTTGGTGTGTGGATTAAATGAGATAATACAGACAGACTAGTATGCAGTCCATGTTCCATAAATGATCTTTTCCTCTTAACTGAGAAATCTATCTCCTATTTCGTGTGTCTTTCTCCTCTCTCCCTCTTTACAATTATGTAATTCTGAGACATTATAGGACATTTATATATCAATTTGTCTTGGTAGCACTGTCCTCCCATTGTTCATTGATTTGCTCAAGCGGGCACCAGTAACGTCTCCATTGTGAGACTTGTTTCTGTTTTTGGCATATCGAATACACCACGGGGAGCTTGCCAGTTGCTACCGTAACACTAGTAATTCTTATTGTGTAAATAAATCACTGCTTAAGAACTTCTGTAATAATGACTTAACCTTTTATTAGTGTTTTAAGTTAATCCTAATAATGACATAATGGTAATCATAATAATGACAATCAGTTCATTGAAAACCTGAATAGGATAACTTTTATTCCTGGTAATACATTGGTTTTAGCCCTTTTGTGAATGACATAGGCCTTAATATTCTATTTCAGTATCGAGCGAATTATCACTCCCCGATTGGCTCTAACCACAGCCGAATTTCTGGCTTATCAATGTGAGAAACATGTACTGGTCATCCTAACGGACATGAGTTCTTATGCAGAAGCACTTCGAGAGGTAATTTTTAACAGTTAAAATGGGATTTGTTTTTCAATACTTGTCTTTTCTGTAAGATTTTTTTTTAAACATTTGTATAAACTTACTGCTGATTAGATCTTAATCAGAGGGAAAAACACAACTTTTCTGACAACTTGGTTGAAATTATTAAAGGATGAGTTTTAAATAATTAGCCAAGTTATCATATGGCCATGGTCTCCAAGGGCTAACTTGAGTCCTAGGTGGTTGAGAGATAGCTCGGTGGGCTGAGCACATACTTTGCATGTGGGAGGCCTTCATTTGATCTGTAGAACTGCTTGGTACTCCAGCATTCATGGTGCTGCCCCAAAAATGTACAAAAAGAGGAATTGATTTCCTAAGGCGTGTAGATGATTGAACTAGTCTCGATTCAGTCAAATTGCTCTTTGAGTTTTGTAAATGTCTATTTTGCTTTCTTTTCCTTTTTGCATATTAGTCAAAGCTAGTCTAGTCTGCAAACTGTACTTTGAATAGCAGTATTGCAACACTCTTGGAAGTACGAAAGAAGCACTTAATGGGCTTAATGTATGGTTTTAGTAGTTGTAGATTAATATATAATATTTCAGAATTCATGTTTCATAAAGGCCTTTTATTCTTTTGTACAATTAATGACTCTTGATTCCTTGATCTCGAGAAAAGTCTTTATCTGACCCTTGATTCCAATAATAAATTGTAAATATTGTGTATATGATGAGAAATAAAACCTTTCTCACGTGGTTATTTTGAGGATTAAAATGATACAAGTTGAGAGAGAAAGCCTAAACAGCTGGGTCACATACTCTGCAGGCTGTTACCCCAGTCACCACATGCAAAACAAACCAAAATTAAGTAATGTAAGTAAAATGTCTCATGATTTTACATATAAAGAGAATATATTCATATAAAATTCAAAAAGAACATCCCCTTTTTAATTTTTCACATTAGTTTATATAAACATTGCAAGATCTGTTATATAGAATAAATCTATGAACCAAGAATATCCTCTACATTTAAAATTAACTTCCTGGGACTGGAGAGATAGTATGATTGTATGTATGAGGTTTGATTCTCACGGGTGTGACCAAAAATAAAGTAAATATTAACTTTGAATTACACAGTCACAAGGAGATTTTCCTTAGGAAAGCTGTGTAAACATTTGGGATATTTTTTGGTGGGGAAGGTCGTACCTCTTGGTCTTCAGAGGCTACTCTGGGATCTGTGCTTAGGAGATCATATGAAGTGCCAGGAATCAAACTGGAGTCAGCCACATATAGTGCAACCTCTTAGCCCCCATGCTATCTCTCCAGGCCCAGAAGTTTGTATGTTGGCAATATAGTTTTATCCCCCCCCAAAAAAAATTTTTGATGCCAGGTCCAAGAGATCGTTCAGATAGTGCTTGGAGCCAACTCGGGTTCAATCCCTGGTATCCGATGTGGTCCTCCAAACACTGCCAGGAGTAACTCCTAAGCATTGCTGGGTGTGGCCCCAGAACCAAAACTTTAAAAATATATTTTTTTTGATATCCCACTTGTCACTCTTTTTGTAAGAGAATAATTTTTTTTTATTTGAATCACTGTGAGAGCAGTTACAAAGTTTTCCATTTAAGTCTCGTTCATACACTGATGAAACACCTGTCCCTTCACCAGTGCCCATTTTCCACCACCAAAACCCCCAGAATACTCCCCATCCCACATCCTCCCCCTACCTGTGTGGCAGATGATTTCCACATTACTCTCTCTAATTTGATTACATTCAATATTTTGACACCAGACCCACCGTTATTACTTGGGATTTTACCCCAACACTCAGATCTGCCTAAAGGCAACCTTAGACTATTTGTTTTCTACTGCCGGTTATGAGTTGCATATGATGTCGCGTAGTCAAAAACCGCTGGGTTCTGAGATTTGTTTGAGTCTCTGGGATCATGACCTATAAGCAGCTCTATCAGCAGCCAGAGGGCTCATGAGGGGGCCGGCTCCACCCCCATCCTGTGAGGCCCTGCGTTTCTCGTCACCCTGTGGGCCCCCACCTAACTGTCCATAGGCCTCTGGAAGATGGCGGCGACCGAGCCGCCCGGGGGAAAAAGCCAAGGCACAAAACCTATTCCCACCTGGGGTGCCCTGGCACCTGAAACCTAGGTCTGGACGCATTTCTGCCAAAATCCACTGGGTTCTGAGATTTGTTTCTGAGTCTCTGGGATCATGGCCGATAGCAGCTTGATCAGCAGCCAGAGGGCTCCTGTAAGAGAATAATTTTAACTTGTATTATAAGAAGATGTTTCTGAGTCATCTCTTAAAGACAACATTTTAAATGAATAGGGTATTTCCAATTTTGGAGCTTGAAATACTCAAACTAGTATGCTCTAACCGCACTTTATTTTTCATATTCTAAAAAAAAATATATTTTTCATATTCTGATATGTGATCTTCTCTGTACATTCTTACTAGGTTTCAGCAGCCCGGGAAGAGGTTCCTGGCCGACGAGGCTTCCCGGGGTACATGTATACAGATTTAGCCACGATCTATGAGCGTGCTGGTCGAGTGGAAGGCAGGAATGGTTCTATTACCCAAATCCCCATTCTCACCATGCCCAATGATGGTAAGTTTTTGGTCTTTGATTATAAGGGCTTGAGAGAGTACAGCAGATAAATTTAACTTGGGTGCTTTGAGTTAAATTTGGCCTCTGGAGCTTTACCTAAACTAGTGATTTATACCTAGATAAAATTTTTTCATTTGAAAATTACTCATGATTATAATCTGTTGTGGAAGAATAAAAATTATAGTTTGAATTTTTGTTTTTGTTTGGGGTCCATACCCAGCATGGCCTTACTCCTGGACTTAATCCTGGCTCTGTGCTCAGAGGTCACTCGTGGCAGGGTTCTGGGGAGTATACAAGGGTGCTGAAAAATCAGGCCTCAGTGGACCACGTGCAGGCAGGCACCCTCCCCGCTATGCTCTCTCTTCAGTCCCTCAATTTGGATTTTTAATTTTCCTGTATTTGATATCATTGAGTTTTGCTTTGTGGAGCACAGTGATCTATATTTGAGAAAATGTTGTTTTCAAATGTGTAGTTGCACTAAATCTAATATATTTAGTCTAGTTGAACATTTTGTGTGTATGTGCACTGATAAATTTTTGTTTGGCTGTTTTTGTTTTGGGGACCTTGCCTGGCAATGCTCAGGGCTTTCTCTTGGATTTCTGCTCCTGGTGGTGCTGGGGGTTGGGAGAGCGGCACGGCGATCTTGTGGTTGGGGATTAGTAAGTGGCTGCCTGCTGGACTTGGCTTCTGTACTCTTCTTCATCGATCATTTAAGTAGCTTATGTTAGGTTGAGATAGAAAGCACAAATAGGAAATGCTGAATACTTGAGGGATAGAATGATGACCAAAAATTGGTTAAAAATTATTTTCTTGGGGTCAGAGAGAGAGTACAGGGGTTAATGTTTACCTTGTATGCAGCCAGCCCTGAGGTGATCCTGGATACCACATACGGTCTCACCCAGGAATAACCCCTGAGCACTGCAGGTGAGGTCCAACACCCCCACCCCCCAGAATTTCTCTGTGTGCTTGGGGTGACTCCTGGGTGAGATTCTTCATGTATACCTATTGTGACTTACATGTCTTCACCTCACTTACTAAGGATTACTTTATAAGATATTTCATAAATAGAAAGAATTGTTCTTGGAGCCTTACGTAAATTAACTCAGCAACTTTGCAGTGAATGCTCAATTCTGAATCACAGAGACATCATTAGGAAGTGATAGCTTTGGAACCCAGTAAGAATTCATAATTCACGTAAATTGGTACTACACTGTACTTCTCTGATACAAGATTAATTTATTCCAAGGAAGTAATTGCAATGTTACTTATATCTGATTGAACAGATTCAGAAATGTTGCCTTGTGTAGCCTTTTGTTGGTGCTGCTTTTGCTTTGTACCTTTCTCATATTTTCCATTGAAATGTTATATTTTGATACGTTGAAGTTCCCTTTGGCTAGTTGCTGCCATGTGTGATAGCACAGATACAGAACTTTTTGTTAGTTTGTTTTTTGGTATGGAGCCATACCCACATACCCAACAGTGTTCAGGGCTCAGTCATGAATATTTGATGCCAGGGATTGAACCAGTGTCAGGACTTGTCAGGCAAGCACGCTGCCTGCTGTACTGTTCCTTCAGCCCCAAGTACAGAACTTAATCCATCATCATAGAAAACTATTTTACATAGCACTGTTCTAGGTAATGCTGTAAGATGTACTTCTCTGGGTTTGGTCATATGGGATGGCCACTTTAAATAATGTCAGTTATCTTGCTTTGATAGATATCACACACCCCATCCCAGACTTGACTGGATATATCACAGAGGGGCAGATCTATGTGGACCGCCAGCTGCACAACAGACAGGTATTTCACCAGGAAGATGTCCTGGAGCTCACAGCTTAGTTTCACGGACTTCTTAGTGACTTTTGACTTTTTGTTCTTAGGACTTTGTTTAGAATTTATGAATTTGAATTGTTTTTATTTTTGGTTTTGGGGTCACGCCTGGCTTTGTGCTCAAGGATAATTCCTGGCAGGCTCAGGAGACCATTTGGGGTGCTGGGTATTGAACTAGGTTAGCTGTGTGCAAGTCAAATGCCCTATCCATTGTACTATCTCTTTGGCCCCAAATTGAATGGTTTTTAATATGTCTGTAAAAATAATCCCTTCTTTGTATTGAAACCATGGTATGGATACAAGCAAAGAATTAAATTTTTACTTTCATTTCTTTTTAGGCTGGGGAGATAGCTCAAAGAGCTGGAGCACGTGCTTGGTGTATGGGACCCCCAGATTTGACACCTGGTACCTCATGGTCCACCCCAAGTACTCCTAGGAGTGACCCCCAATTACTGGGTGTGGCCCTGCACCTCCCCCTCCCTCCAAAATAAGATTTTATTTAATCTTTTTTTAATTGCATCACCGTGAGCTACAGTTATAAAACTTTCATGTTTGAGTCGCAAAATGATTGAACACCCATTCCTCTACCACATACATTTTCCATCACCAATGTCCCCAGTATCCCTCCCCTGCCCTCCTACCCCTCCCCCGCCTCTATGACAATTTCCCTTGTATCCTCTCTACTTACGGGTATTATGGTTTGCAATATTGATGATGAAAAGCCATCATGTTTGGTCCTTTATCTACTTTAAGCATACAAAGCAAGATTTTTTTTTGTTTCTCTTGTACTTTAAAATGAGTCTGTTGTCTCAAAGAAAGTCTTTGTTTTTTTATATTCCATAATATTATTAACTGTCTTGTTATTAATAAAAAATGAGTATTTGACACTTTTTAAAAATACAGATGGCAGTCTCTAATGCCAGCTTTTAGGTGAAAATGTTTTTTTTTTTTCTTTCTTTTTGGGTCACACCTGGCGATGCACAGGGGTTACTCCCGATTCCTGCATTCAGGAATTACTCCTGGCGGTGCTCAGGGGACCATATGGGATGCTGGGACTCGAACCCGGGTCGGCCGCATGCAAGGCAAACGCCCTACCTGCTGTGCTATCGCTCCAGCCCGAAAGTGTTCATTTTTAATGTATTTGATTTTATGGGTTAGAGTACAGTAGATTTGCTACTCTTAACAGCGTAGACTGAAGATTCATGGTGTTTCCAGTATCATCTTGTATGTATTTTTGTTGTTGTTGTTTTGAGGAGACACAGCTGGCTCTATGTGCAGGGATCACTCCTGGCAGGGTCTGGGGACCATATTGGGTTAAGGTACAAGGCAGGCACCCTACCCATGGTATTATTGTTCCAGCCCTCATACTTTTATTTTGAGGGAGGGCCTGGGGACATAGGTCAACCAGGCGGGGCAGATCAGTACTAGACCTGAAGATGCCACAGTGCTTGGGAGACAATGTGGTGTCAGGAATTGAACCAGAGTCCCGGCACCCCGCTCCCCCAGAACTTGTACTATTTTTAAATGTAACTTTTTGGAGATTTGACTCTCAAGAAATAGTCCATCGTAAAGAGTGTTTCTCTCTACCCAGGAAAACAGCTTATCTAGGAAACAGGTGCAACATTTCTTTTTGTAAAGAGATAATACTGAGTTTCAGAATGCTGCTTTACTATGGTAATGACTGAATTCTTTACTAAAATATTTTCTTCTCCCTAAGATATACCCACCTATTAATGTGCTCCCCTCGTTATCACGGTTAATGAAGTCTGCTATCGGAGAAGGCATGACCAGAAAGGATCATGCTGATGTATCTAACCAGCTGGTATGTGGATTCTCATAAAAATGGTGTTTAAAATAATGAATGCCTTGGGATTTATTTTTCCCTTTGACTTTTTTCATCTAAGTAGAATTATAGTTTAGGACAGATATTGATGTCCTCCAAGATTTGAAATCATGCTCAGAATTCTGAGTAGTTCCAAAATAAATAAGCCATAAATAAACCATAAGATTGCTTTTACATTTTTGTTAGTAACTGTAATAATAATTTTAAAGTTCTTAGATGTGTACTCAGATACTTCTTAACATACTAAGTAATCACATAACACTAAAATTAATGAAATTTTTGTAATTATGACGTTGTATACTAACACAAAGGAAATTACTTTGAATCATAACGTAGAAAAGCTATACCTACAGATACCACAAATTTATAAATTATATTTATATATATATATTTTTTTTATGACATCTTATTGTCTTATTCCTACTTTGGACAAACTTGCAGGCTATCGAATGTAGCCTGCCCACAGGGCAGAGTCTGGCAAACTCCCCGTGGCCTACCAAATATGCCAAATACCAGTAACAATGATGGGTCTCATTCTCCTAAATAGCCTTGAATATAATCTCAGGGCTAGGATGAAAGAGACGTTACTGGGGCCTGCTCGAGGCAATCGACGAATAACAGGATGATGAAATGAAAATGAAAATAGAACCTGGCAATGGGTTTTTCTTTAAGTTCTCATTTCCTTGTGTCTTTCAAATGTAAGCGCATCAAGGCATTGAAGAGATGTGAATTTTTTGTAGTTTAGTAACATTTACTACATGACTGAGATTCCCTTTCTAAGAAGCTATTTAATAAAATTCCAGTCCTTTCCGTATGAGCTCTGGGAATATTGCTTGCAGGTAATGAGAAATTGCTGGAGAAGACAGCCTCATAGCCCCGACCACATTACTGTTTATAAAACTCTTGGTGTGTGTGACATAAAGTACTTTTTATTTACAGAAATAGGGGTGGGGGGGAGGAAGTGGTGGAGAAAGAAAGGACATGGGCAGATCGCTCAGATAAAGAACAACTCTCATTTATAAAATTTTGTGTTTGGTTTGGCTTTTCTTTTTTGGGTCACATCTGCCCACACTCAGGTGATCGTATGGGATACCAGGGATCAAGCTTAAACTTATATTGCCCTGGCCTCATTTTTAAAAGTTCCAGTCTCTGATTCTCTCTGACCATATAAACCTTCTGTTTTAGTATGCCTGCTATGCGATTGGTAAAGATGTACAGGCCATGAAAGCTGTAGTTGGAGAAGAAGCTCTTACCTCAGATGATCTTCTTTACTTGGAATTTCTGCAGAAGTTTGAGAGGAACTTCATTGCTCAGGGTAAGATGAGCATGTTCTTGCAAACATAGACTCTTAAATAATTTTTTGTTCTGTATGTGTGGGGGGTGGGGGGGTGGGGTTTGGGCTGGTGGGGTGTTGGGCTCTAAGAGAACTTACATTGGTCTCCCTACAGTGCCTTTCTGGTTACCAGGAATGTTCTTGCAAGTGCCTGTCACATGTGTGCAGAGGCCTTTCCCCTCTGCTTTACAATTTTTTTTCTCCCTTACGTTCTCACATCCAGCCCCATTGCTCTGCAGCCTTGGTTATAAATCATCCTCCTTCTCTGCAATTATCTCCTTTGACTGGGTGGGGGTGATGGTTAGGATTTTCTGATTTTTCTCTTTCTACGCCCATTTCTAATTTACCTTTCTGTTGCTTAAAAGAGCTTGTTTGGGGGTTCTAGCAGGGAGCACAGTTAGTCATGTACCCTCAACCAAAGAACAGTCCATCTTTATTCTGGGAAGACCCACCGCTTCAACCTCGTGCACAGCGTTGGGAGGGCTGCGGTCAGGGAGGAAGGGGACAGCCCTCCTCACCAGCCAGCTCAGCCAAACCAACCTTGCCTGTGTCACTGCGAGATTATTCTCACTTCCCCTCTCGGCTGTGTGTGTTCCCAAAGCTTAAGTTAACTGTTCTTACTTTCCTTGTGCTGTTGACTGAGTCATGTGTGATGCTGTCTCTTTAAAGCTCTTTTCCACATCTCCAACTTGAGTACTCCCTCATGATCAGCATGGTCAGAAATAACAGGATTTTCCAGACTTAACTGCTTGCGTGACAATTTCCTTTCCAGTTTCTGTTACCGACATGATCTTTGTCAGTTATTGGGTATTAGTCTTAGTCTTCTTCATTTATTTTCCAGTGGTCATATATTTTTTTCATTAGTCTCGTGTTTTAAAATACACTGTTTTGAACCAAAGATGTAGCTCAAAGAGTCAGAGCTCCTGCCTCTCGTGTAGGAGGCCTGAGATTGATCCCTGCACCACCTGGCACCTAAGCACCACCACAAGTCGTCCCCCAGCACCACAATGTGTGACCCAGGGACCAAGAAAGAATTAAACATCCCGTTTTGTTTTTAATCTCCATTAAGAGAGATTAAAAACTTAATCTCCACTACCTTAAGCCAGTGTTTCTTGAGTTTTAATGTGCTTCTGAATCAACTAGTGTTTATTAGTAATACAGATTCTGATTTGGATGAACCAGAGACTTTGTTGTTTTCACTTTTGCTTTTTGGGCCCCACTCAGCTCTGCTCAGGGCTTGCTCCTGGCAGTGCTTGGGGACCAACCGTATGCAGTGCTGGGATTCAAGCCCAGGTCAACTGCATGCAAGACAAGCATCTTTCTGCTAAACTGTCTCTCTGGCCCTAAGATTTCTGTGTTTTATAACCCGTTCCTAGGTGATGTTAAAACTGACCACAATCTCAGTTTTATCATACTTGGAACCTTAATGCTAGTCCAGATCTCTATGCCGTTCTTTAGTATGCCATTAGTGCTTTTATTATTTACCAGTTTTTCTAATTTACTGTAGACCTCTGCCAGGTAAGGTTATTGCTAATTTTATGCTAACCCTACTAAAAAAGAAATCTATATTGATTTCCATGACATGTCATAGGGTTTTCAAGCAGGTTTTCTTGATCCCTGCCAAGACTGGCACTGCCACTGATGTTCTATTTTGAAATAATAGATCACGCTGCAGAGTTAAGATTCGTATGCTTTTCTCTTTAAGTTTTTTAATAGCATTGAATTCCTGAGAGTACATGCAATTTTAGGATTTTATTCAATTCTGGACATAAGTAATTAAAAGTTAAGGTTTTGTGTTGTTGAGAAAATAGCCCAGAACTCTTAAATGCTCTGGTTCTGTACTTAATAATATTTATTTGTAGGATAAGGATAATTCTGATACTAAAAATAGTAAGGCTCTTAAAAACTAACGAAAACCCAGTTGGCATGTAAGACTCCCTAAGTCTGTACTTCCTCACATTTACCCACTGTTCTGGGGAAACTGCCTTCCCCTTCTCCCTTTCCGCTCCCTGCCCCCCCCGCCCGCCCCCGAATTTATCTCTGGGCAAACTGGATCTTGCCTGCATTGCATGGTCCCACTCAGTGAGTCAAAAACACACATGCATACATATACACACTAAATGGTTATCTCCCCCCTTTTTTGATTCATGGTGCTTTTTTGTCTATACCCTTATTTTCAGTTGTGTTTTGTTTCTGGAGACCTTACTGCTTTGTTACTTTTCTTTTTTATACTTTGTGTATACAACTGTGGTCACTTAACAGAATAGGTCATAACGCTTTTTAAAAAGCCTTTACTCATTCCTTTACTCATTCCTTTTGCCTTTACTCATTCCTTTTCAAATGTGTTGTCAGGTCCATATGAAAATCGCACCGTCTATGAGACTTTGGACATTGGCTGGCAGCTGCTCCGAATCTTCCCCAAAGAAATGCTGAAGAGAATCCCTCAGAGCACCCTGAGCGAATTTTACCCTCGAGACTCCGCGAAACATTAGCTGCTACTTCATGGCTGATTCTTGTGAAATACTGGTTCTGTTTTCTTTATTCCTTTTGCACTCCCATCCCCATCTTTGTGTTGGAGTTTACTGTGTTACCCTGTAATTAAAAACAGAATAGGTAACATTGTGCCAGTGTTGCAATGTTTTAAATAGCTAACAGACTTTAAAATATTCCCTGTTCAGAAAACCTGGATGTTAGGAGCTTTGTTCAGAGTAGCTGCAGGGATGGAGGTGAAGTTTTCTTTGTGTGTGAGAGTGTGAGAGTGTGTGTGTGTGTGTGTGGTGGTGGTGGTATAGTCACTCACCTAATAATGTCCTCGTTACTTGGGTCTCCTAAACCTTAACATCCAGCTCCCTCAAGAGTATTTCTACCTGAACTTTATAATGCTTTGACATCCAAAATAGACGTGAGACCAGGTTTGAAAGAAGCCTCCTCTGACGGCTCCGAGCAATGATGTTTGAATTGAGGGGTGCCTCTCTGTGTGCTCCGAGCTGATGGTTTTTATTCTCCACCGGTTCTTTCCTATTTAATGAGTAGATGAGAAAAGGAGCTTCCTTTTCCTCTTTTCTAGTAGGTCTGAGTCGGGACTCCTGTGACTTACGTTCTCCCTCCCTGTTGGTTAACAGAATCATGCAGCTTTTGCACAGCTGAAACTGCTTGGATGGTAAATGCCTTTTCTTGATCCTTGCTGGGTTTCCATTCAGAGGAATTGCATAATTTAATAATAGTATTGTTGCTTGGAAAGAATTGGGCTGTAATTTAAAAAAATGAGAACCTTTGTCCTGCGTTCTGACATGTTAACAGAGGATATAAGCTCATCCTTGTTTCTGTGAGATACGGAAGGCTTAGTGGGAAGGAGAAAGCACTTCTGCTTTTGGATATTTTAAACTCTGTTAGGGAGCAGCCTTTGGAAAACCCCCTCTTTGGCTCTGCTTTCTGACCTCGCTGCCTCTTCAAGGTATTTTTGTGACGCAAGTGGTAGCATTGAGAAGCTTTAGCATTTTAATTCATGCTCCCTCGTGCTATGAACCTTAAGCCGTCTTCTCTGCTCGCCTGCCAGATCGCCTGACCCGTCTCCTTGTGTTGTTACTTGAGTGCAATAGCAACTTCTCTACTCTGTGCATTCCATCTTTCAAGTTGTGTAAAGTTCTTCACGTTTTCTCTTAAGGGGTGGGGATGGTGTCAGCATGATTATATTTTAATGTAGAAAATGTGACATCTGGATATAAAATGAAAATAAACTATAAATTAAATGGAAGTTACCTAAAATGAGTCTGTGTCTTTTCACTAGAAAAGCAAGAGCAGTCAGCACATATGCAATACAGAATAAATTTTGGTTCCGTTTTGATCATAACTGTTAATAACAACAAAAACCCTTGTTATAGGGACACAACCCAGGTTTTCTATCCTCTGTTTTTCAGACCGTCCTTCCATGCTTTTTTTCAGTAATATCTTTTCCAGTTTAATGCCTAGTTTGATCAAGGCTAAAACGCACTACAGGCATTCTTTGTTTCAAACATTGTCAGGTGTTTAGGCTAGAGAGGTAGTAATAGTGAGTAAGGTGCTTGCCTCATAGGAGTCTGACCTGCGTGTGGTCCCCCGAGCTTACCAAAAGTGATCCCTGATTGCAGAGCCAGAAATAAGCCCTGAGCACAGCTGGAGTGGTCCAAAACCAAAGCGAAGTAAAATTGCATTTTCAGGATATTTGAATCTGTCTCCAGAACCTATCTGTCATGAATGAAAAAGGATGCATTACATACTGGGAAAAAAATCCATACCAGAACTAACCAAAACTTCAAATCTGAAGTGGATATTCAATATATAAAGTAAACATGCTGTTTATACAGCACCAGAGTATGGAATTATAGTGGCCTACTATCTCTCCTTCCCCCTTCATTTTTAGATAATTTTTAGGAGCACTAGAGGAAACAGCCCAGTTGTGGCAAGAACTAGGTAGACCTGGATTCTGATTCTACTAACTGGACTCAGTCATTTAATAAGCTTGAATTTGTAAGCTTATATTTCTCTTTGGTTTATTGTAAGTATTCCGAGATGTTGCATGTAAGATGCTTTGTACATTTGGTTATTACTCATACATAATCCTCAGGTAGAACTCTAGGTGGTATTAAAGAGCACTCTTACTATTTTTCACTGAGAAACTTTCCCTGGAATACTTTCAGTACACCAGTGACATCTAATTAAAGGACTGGTTCAAATGATTCTTTAATATGGACTCTAATTTTGGTCAATTTTGTTGTTGTTGTTAAGAAACTTAACATTACAGGAGTGATCCCAAGCACAGAGGTGGGAGTAAGTACCCCCAGCACTACCAGGCATGGTCCATACTCCTCCACTCCCCAAAAAAGGGAAAGAATTTTTTCATTTCAGTTGACTTAAACATCTTTGAGTGGTGCTACCAGAGCACTAGTACAGGAACCAGGGTGCAGGACTTGCATGTGACTGCCCTTGGTTCAACCATTGGCACCGCAGAGCCCTAGCAGCACCACATCCTTAGGTCTTTGTATTGAACTGCTTTCCCATTTGGCCAAGAATTGCCAGTCGGTAGCCCTGGGCCTCCTGAGCACCATTTGGGAGAACCCCCTCCCCCATCCCACCAGGCCAAATGAAAGTATTGGATGGTGAACAGGTATGTCCCCAGTATCTCCAAGCTAACTGATTTGTTAAATATTTATTGACTACAGTTGACTGTGACTTGAGTTGGAAAGTTTGTGTAACGGAAAAAATGTTTTCAGACTAAGATAATAAATAACTCACTAAGATGTTTAATTTTCAGCAAGTAGAGAGTGTAAGATTTGTCAGATCAACACAGTGTCTGCTTTTAAAATTGAACTTTTCTACCAGTAGGGAAAGATTTTGTAATATAGTACTGGGGAAAAACAAAAAATAGTTCCCCAGACTAAACCGAAAAGAAGCCATTATCAGGATGACTTTTGTTTGTGTTGGGGTTTTGGCCATACCCTTCAGTTCTCAGGGACTACTGATTGCTCTGTGCTTTAGAGTTAACTCCTGGTGGTACTCAGGACCATATGGTACCAGGGATCAAACCTGGGCCTCCTGCATGAAGAGTATGCTCTCAGCCCATTGAGCTATCTCTGCAGCCCACAAGTTGATTACTGGAGGAAAATTATCTTTTGTAGAAAACCAAAAAGTAGGAAGAAATGAGGTTTTGTTCATTTTTTAAAAAATAAAAGTCATATTCTTTGTGCTAAAGTACATGTTTTTCATGCAGGAGGATTCGATTTGATCTTTGATATCACATAGTCTCCCAAGAACATTGAGCCCAGAGTTGTCCCTGAGCGCCACTGGATGTGACCCTCCCCCCCAAAAGAAAAAATCATGTTCCTTTCTCAGCTATTGACTATATTTATTCCAAACCATTTTTCCAGTTTGGGGTTGAACCACCTGCCTATTACTCAAGCAAGCCACATGCTTCCTCAGCTGCCCCCTTTTCCAAATAAAGTGGTAACAGTGAGTAGGTGGTTAGATGCAGTAAGAAATCCCTTCCAGTGACTAATCAACCAGTCAGCAAGAGTGGCAAACCTGCCTGGAAAAATTTAAAAACTTGTCATTTGGGTAACCAAGGAATTGTTGATTCTTCTTGATCAGTCTAAGGGAAAGCTGCCTATAGTTCTCGCTGAGCCTGAGGGCGTAGACTAAACCAGAATTTTCTAAGTCCCTGAATATCCCTAAAGTAGAACCCGTGGTTGTATTATGCATGACAGGCCACTTTTCCAAATACATTCTATAAATTTAATAAAACTGGGCCAGTGAGATAATACAGCAGGTAGGTGCTTGCCTTGGATGTGATCAACCACCTGGGTTTGATTCCTGGCACCCATCATGGTCCCCTGAGCACAGAGCAGAGCCAAGAGTAAGCCTAGAGCACTGCTGGGTATGGCCCGAAAACAAATCAGCAACAAGAAATTGTGATTTGTTCAGGGCCACTTAAGGAAAGACAGAACCTGAGTTAGAATCTGGGCCTTTAAAACTGTTTCAGGGGTTACGAAAACTGGTCTGTGGTTGGAACTAACCACAAATGTGTGTGCAGCTGAGGGTAGGTAAGATAGAGAAGAGACCATTATGACAATAATAGCTAGGAATGATCACACTGGACAAGAGCTGAAGGTTAAGAGTAGGTAAGATATATTTTGGAAAACCTTTCAGTATCAATATTGCAAACCACAGTACCCAGAAGGAGAGAGAGAAGAAAAGCGCCTGCCATGGAGGCAGGTGGGGGAGGGGGGGTGATGGAGGGAACCTGGGGACACTGGTGCAGGGATGGGTATTGGAACACTGACTGAAATCCAATCATGAACAGCTTTGTGGAAAAAAAAATTTTTTTTTAAATAGTGCTCTTCTCATAGCATCATATTAACATCCATGTCACACCATTAACTGAAGTAACGGGGGCTGGAGTGATGATACAGTGGGTAGGGCATTTGCCTTGCAGGCAAGTTGACACTTTTTCGATCTCCAGCATCCCATATGATCCCGCCAGGAGTAATTCCTGAGTGCAGAGCCAGGAGTAATCCCTGTGCATTGCTGGGTGTGAGCCAAAAAGCCAAAGGAAAAAAACTGAAATAACATCCACGAATTCCAAATGCTCTGGAAATCAAGGTACTATATTGTGACTACAACGTTTTAGTGTTGTGTAAAACAGTGCTATCATGAATGTAAATAAGTGGTCCAAATGGGCAAGCATCAAAGTTGCAGTGTGGAGAATAGGATTATACATGCAGAAAATAGCCTTAATGCTTTTTATTTATTAATTTTTTTTGGCAGTACAGTCAGTTTATTGAAAGAAAGTCCACTGGTCAGACACAGCACAAGCCTCCAAAGAGAGGCCCATCTAACATTCTTTTTTTAAAAAAAAATCTTTTAAGTTGAATCACAATGAAATAGTTACAAAGTTGTTCATGATTGAACTTAAGTCATATCATGTTCCAACACCCAGCCCTTTACCACCATAATGTTCCCAGTCTCCCTCCCTCCCACTCTACCCCCTGCCTCTATAGCAGTCACTTTTATTCTCTCCCTCCCCCCCCACCCCCGCCACACACACACATACACTGTCTTTTGGACATTATGGTTTTTAATACAGTGCTGAAAGGTTATCATGTATATCCCTTTACCTGCTTTCAGCACTCCTTGTTCAGAGTGATCATTTCCAGCAATTACTGTCATACTGGTCCCTTCTCTATCTTAACTACCCCCCACCCCACACACACTTGTGGTAGCTTCCAATCATTGACCAGTCCTGGCCAGTCTTGCCTGACCTCTATGAGGCAGCACAGCGGGTAGAGTGTTTGCCTTGCACGCGGCTGCTCCAGGTTTGAGTCCTCTTGTCCTCTTGGAGAGCCCGGCAAGCTACCGAGAGTATCCCACCCGCATGGCAGAGCCTGGCAAGTTCCTTGTGGTGTATTTGATATGCCAAAAAGAGTAACAAGTCTCACAATGGAGACGTTACTGGTGTCTGCTCGAGCAAATCGATGAACTACAGGAGGACCAGGGAGGACTGTGCGATGCATTTTCAGTCCTTGTATTCTTCATTTCCACCAGAGGGCAGCAGCTCTTAGCTAAATTCCAGAAATAGAGTCTTCAGCTATAGCATCAAGAGTTCACTGAATCAGAAAGTATTTTGTTGGGTTTGGTTTTCATTTGCTTTTGCAGAGGAGAGAGGGGCACCCTTAAACCTGTTAATGTACAGATAAATATGGATAAGTTTTAAAGGGGACATGCTGGGCCTGAGTGATAGTACAGCCAGTAGAGCACTTACCTTGGACAAGACTGACCCGGGTTCCGTCCTTGACACCACATGTAATCCCAGGAACCCACCAGGAGTGATCACTAAAGCGCAGAGCCAAGGAAAAGCCCTGAGCACTGCCGGATGTGTCCCAGAAACAAAAACAAAAATAAAGAATGAGAAAAGGGAACGTGCTTTAGTTATAATAAACTCAAACCAAAATTGAGCGCAGGGAGCCCTAACATTGAAACTTAAACTGAAGGTCTGGGTTAGGGCCCTAAGATTTATCTGATATAACTCTCCTGTGATGATGAAAGGCCCTTTTCATCATCTAAAATACAATTTATAGTAAATATGTGTTAGTTCACCTAAGGGATAAACTTCTCTGATGGTGGAAATGTGCTTCCTAAATCAAGATAAAAACTTAATTTTAGCCTTTACCATTTCACATGATAGTGTGCTTGTCTGGACCCCCCTCCCCCCCTCCCCATGTACTTC